GGCATTTATTATCATACAAGTAACATTGGCATTTATTATCATACAAGTAACATTGGCATTTATTATCATACAAGAAACATTAACTAATAAAAGTATCCGAATGATAATGATCTGCATAATGTGTAACTGTGAACTAGTAATTAATACTTTCCGTGACCAATGACAATTAGGCAGGTCACAATTGAGTTGTCATGTTCTGTGGTTTTACAGTGTCCTTGTTCTGTCCTGATCTGTATTGCTATATGAAACCTGTCACACTCTGAATAGTTACTATTCTAGAATGACCTGGCTCTTATGCATTGTAGCTGTAACTGACATATCTACAGTTATGACCAAGTTCTGATTAGTAACTATCTCACCTGGCACAAAGTGCCAGTTGTGCTAACGGTCGTCCTGTGTCCATCAACCTTTTCTTTCAACGACTTCTTCTTAAGCACTGGAAGACCTAGGACCATTATATTGGGCCAGTAGGTACCTGAGACAGAGTGCTATAAGGTTTCCTCAAATAAATGACCTTGACCTATTTTCAAGGTCACATAGGTCTAATATGTAAAAACCTTGGAATATCTTTCTCAAAATATCAGGAGGCCCAGAGCAATGATACTTGGCCAGTAGGTACCTATGACAGAGTGCTATAAAATGTCCTTACTTTCAAGGTCACAGGGGTCAAATATGTAAAAACCTTTTTAAACACCTAGTTCAGAATATTAAGGAAGCCCAGAGAAATGATACTTGGCTGTTACGTACAAGCTGGGACAGACTGCTATAAAGTCTCCTCAAATACATTACCTTGAACTTCTGAATAACCAAGAGGCCTAGAGCAATGATATTTGGCCAGTAGGTATTTGAGACAAAGTGCTATAAACTGTCCTTAAATAAATTACTTTGACTTACTTTCATAGTCACAAGGGTAAAAAGTGCTAAAAGACCTTTAAACAGCTTCTTCTGCAATATCAGGATGCCCTGGGTGATGATATTTGACCAGTACCATGCTACTAGAATAGTGTAAAGTTTCATTGAGTTTGGAACATTCTTAAGCTAAGGAGACTCATCAATATATGGAAATGTTTGCAAAAGTACTTTTATTGAGAATTTTTCCCCCTGATTGCTCTATTATCTAGGTAAATGATACAGGCCGTCTGGGCCTCTTGTTTTAGTGTTAGTAGAGCTGTGATTGCTATGTAACCACTACAATGTGTTATACTTACTGTTAAGCATGTATGCTGCATGGAGCTTTATTCTCACATTTTATCAAACAATTATTTAATACCAATTAGTCAAACTAAACATTGAAGTGGTGAAAACCTGATACATTTTCCACTTTGTGTGGTTATCATATTTTTTATGCCCTTATTTACTGACAATTAACTCATTCTCCCCTGAAATTTCATAATGAACTATTCCAGCCTTTGAATTGGAAGAGTTCAAATGTGTCTTCAGAGGAGAATGAGTTAAATAAGAATATTGAATGCCTGTAGATGATAATAGTATGAGTAAGTATACTATCGGCTGTACACTAAAGCTGCCTCCATCTCATCATCATCTTTTTTTCTATCCTTTGACCTTGGCCTTGACCCCCTTAATGTGACAGATCAGTTGACCCCAGCTGGTACAGTCTGGCTTAGAATGCATTATATCTCTTCAATAATGCTGGAAGTAATGGAATGCTAGTTTTAAACTCCATCACTGGTGAAACCATTGTGGGTGCTTCCTTTTAATTGCATTATGTTTTCAAATCATTTGATGGATACGAACTTTCACAGTCAGTTGTTGGTACATGTATGTATAACTGTGTATAGGTGAAAGTTGTACAGAATGATATTCACTGTTATAACATTCTGGGAACAGTGTATAACTGTTAATTCAAAGTCGTTGCAATTTTTGTAAAAAAAGGTTTTTTATTACAGTAAGGTTTAATTATAAGAATCTACCTATTGTTAGTATATGAGGAAACAAGAATTTGTATCCTATTTGTGTTCCCTGGCAAGAAATAATCTTGATGAAACGCAAAATTAATAATAGATGATAGGGGTACTAAACCAAACTACTTTCTTAGGTCCCAATAGATTTGTAACAGTCGCATAACATTTCAAGGTCACATGCATTACTACACTTATTGTGACATCACAAGTGGCAATTCATTGCCATAAAGAGTTTACGATAGGAAAGACAGAAAATAGACAGAAATGATTTTGTTGCTTTTTCGCCTTGTTATTTTTCATACAAAGTGTTTGAGATTCTCGATGTGTTATATTAGTCCTAATGGAAAAATGTAAATAGATGAAATAATGTCTGTCCTTTTATATGTTTATCTTTAGAGAGGTACACGTAGACTATATATTCCCTATTGAATTCGGTGTAATATTGTACAATATGTAGCTAAACATCCCCTTTGTAATTCAGAACCTGAAGTTACAGAGCCAAAGTCTCCAAAGTCTCTCAAGAAAGAGGTCGCAAAGTTAAAGCAGAGAAAACGACCTTCAGCAGAGGGTGTAACTAAAAGAAGGGAGACAACAGAGGGTCATTCTGGACAACGAAACAAAGATACTGGCATTGTGCGCAAACGCAGTGCTAGTGCCACTACATTGAAGAAGAAACTGATCGTGGCCGGGTCATTTTTTGCCCGACGTGAACGTTCCGACTCCGACACTGTAAGTGTGAAGTCTTCAATAGCTACTGGTGGAGCAGGCTCATCGCATACAGGAGAGACTACTGATAGCACACAAATCAAGGTCAGGGGTCACAACATAAGTTCAACCTCTTCATCATTCTGTTTTAAAAAGGCACTAAATCATCCTTATTTTGTGTTTCTATGACAAAAAGTTGATATATACAGAAGTAGAATGTATGAAATTCAATCTTTATTGAAATTTGTTTGATTTCTGGAAACAATGTTTTTATACTTCAGGGACAATACTTATATGTCTAGTAGTTCCCAGTAAGTTGCCATACGCCAGAAGGTTGATAGTAGAGGTCATACATTGTCTCTTGTTGTCAAGTACATTTTGTATTGCATGAAAAACCACAAATTAGTCCAAGTAATAACATCATGTCAGTTATCAAGCCCCAGCTTACTGTGCTGCATGACTGAAATTAATTTGTCGATGAAACAATACATCTATGACTTTTGTCTACAAGTAGAGGTCATAGAGGACAAGTATTTAACATGTATGTCTTTTACAGGTGGAAGTGAAACCTCCGATCCCTCCCGTGATAAAACCAGCCCCATCCAGTGTGGGAGTGACAAGTCTGGAATCTGTGTCGATACCATCCTCTCCAGCCAGCACCGTACCTGGTTAGTTATCACCCAACTGACAGTTAGCATTTGTCATGGTAGCAAAAAATGACAGAAATAACTAGTACAGAAATTTAAGGTTTAATAGAAGTTTAAAAAGTGACCGTTATCATGTGTCGTGCACGTGGTAGTGAAAATTGATGGAACTAATTGGTACAAAAGTTTTAGTTTCTGACGTAGATTTCAGACTTCTTCAAAATGGCATAGATTTCAACTTTCCATAGATAATTGGTTCCTTTTATTAAAATAAATATGTTTTTGGATGGTATTCAGTACAGAACATTTGTGGCATTAGACATGCTACTGTCCAATAGTAAAGTTACCCTTCACATTAAGTTACTATGTTTTTGTAATAATCTTGTTTAACAGTATTTGCTGTAATGATAATTTGCCCTTTTTTTGGAGGGCAAAAAAGGGTGACAGAAAATTTCCCAGCTTGTACAGATTAGTATCGGGTAACAATGTGATGTCAGTGGTAAACAAGAAGTAACAACCTGTTTATACCTATCACCTGTCTACCAGGACTGGTATTAGACTCAGCCATGTATTTTTACCATATAATTACACTGCATAGCAAAGTTATGTGTAATTATATGATAGAAATACATGTAATTTCAACTGTTTCCCATTTCATCAGACATTTATGAGACATCTATGCATAAAATTCTCATGTTTTTATGATCGGCTTACAGGAATATTTACTATTCCTTTCAACGCATTAGAAATATATTTTTAGTGAAAGTGATGTTTGTACATGTTTTTGAAAATAATTTAGTAATATCAGTGTTTGCTTCAGAAACAATGTTTAATGAATTCAACTTTTTTATTGGAAATAAAACTTCTAAAACAGATATAAATGAAACGTTTCTCTCTCTTGTCTGTAGTGACTCCCAGTCAGCCCGCCACTCTGAAGCAGCCCCTTGCTCAGAAACCGGACCCTACGTCTGGGGTCAGTGGTGAGGTTAACGTTGCCCCTGTGCTGATTGCCAAACGTAAGTATAGCATAAGGACCAGTGGTCATTAACAGCTCACAGAACCACTGGTATAAAGTGAATCCTTGTTTGTAAAGTATCTGATAGTCCAAGACTACTATCCTGATATTAATGAATTTACAGGAATTCTATTCAACTCATTAGTAATTCAAGCAAATTCACAAATGCTTGGTGGCCCTTATAAGTAGAGCATGTTGCACCATATTTTTGCGACCTTGACCTTTGACCTCTGTGACCTTAGTTAAATAATTACATTTAGGTCAGTTTTAGACCAAGTTTTGTAGGTAGGTTCACATCACTTGACAAAGTTACACGCTTTTAAGACTAAAATATGTTTCACTGCGTTTTTGTGTTCTTGGCCTTTGACCTTGATTTCTGTGACTAAGGTTAAGATTTTAACCCTTTCACCCCTATGTAACTTTAGTAGACTCTACCATGCATTGATCTGGATGATTCCATTATGGTCTACAGTGGTGAAAGGGTTAAGTTTAAGAGTGAGGTAATGGTATTTCATTTATATCATTAATTGTAGCTGAGAAGATGGCACTGTTATTTGTCATTTCATTAGAATCGTTTTCATACCAATTACAGGCGAGAAAAAGTCCAAAAAGCGCACAGCATCACCTTCCATGTCTGAAACCAGTAGCACCAGCGAGTCACAGTCTGAGGTCGTTGAGGGAATGCCTGCCAGGAAACGTAGTCGCTCCAAGGAAAATGAGAAAGGTATTTAAGATCTAACAAGACTTATAACACTGTAAAAAAAGGTTCAATAGTAAAATTAATAAATAAGTTCAATCATGGTGTCCACCACATGCATCAAGGTTAAGATGTCTGAGTATATCGATTGACACTTAATCTTCTGTTAATCAATTGTAAGAATATGAAATGAGCTGTACATTGTTTGTAAATGGTTCTATCCAAGTAAACTTTAAACTGTGAACTTCACTTACTCAAGTCTCACTTATTTCCATCAAATGTAAGTATTTCTATAGTGTGAATTAAAAAGACAACAGGTTAATACAGCAATAACTTAGAACCGTCAACATTTTTTATATTAACATGTTATGGTTTGTCTCTCTTCTGTTTCCCAGCAATGGCTGTGAGCCAACTGTCACCGAGTGTATCACCTGTGTCACAGGTCCCTACTCAAGGGACAACCCAGCCAGTCACCGGGATGCCCAAGAAAGCGTTCATCATAGAACAAGACCACAACCATTTTAAGTGTGTGTTTGAAGGCTGTAACAAGGCGTTCCGTAAGGAGAACCTTTTGGATAGTCACATCAAATATTATCATTGTGACGACACCAAGAAACACACCATGCCACAACCTATGCGAAAACGTCGCAAGACAACCAGTATATGTAAGTACAACCGGCTAACAAGCATGGCAAGACAACCAGTATATGTAAGTACAACTGGCTAACAAGCATGGCGAGATAACTGGCAAGGTAAGACCCGTGTGCAAACATTGAGAAGTAAAATGTAAGAAGAGTCCTGTAGCAAACACCAACAACTTTCACTCGTTTACACATGGTCAAAATTATAAACGATCTTTTGAACCAGCTGTTTGTTTGTAAATGTTCAGAGGCAAGGTTTACTGAAGTCATGACGAAACCGACGCTCGATTCTCCAGTGATATTGAATTGGCTCTGTCCCTACCATCTCTACTCTGCCTTTTTAGGCAGTCTCTGTCTAATTGGTCCATTTTGCTACAATAGAATTATTTATGGGCAGCTCTATTGTGCCCGATGTCCATTGGTACCTCTACTTTTACCCTAATTTTGTAAGGAGATAACAGTTGGATTTGATATGCTTTTACATGTGTATTGTAATAATAGGTAAAACAAGTCCTTTTTCTACCTTTATTTGCAGGTTCCACAGACTCTGATGTGTCGTGTTCCTCCAAACAGACAACGCCCCTGGTGGTTAAGACACACCAGGCACCTGTTGACATTGGAACTGTGACTCTGCCTCCAACATTGGAGGTCCAAGAATGTGTGACTGTGGACATTGTGGAAGGTACATTAACATTTAAAAAAAAATCAAATATAAATACCATCTCAAATGTTTGCATGAATAATTACACAGGGCTACATTCGCGTATCCCGGTTGAAACGGTATGTGTGGCGCAGAAATTTTCCACGATAAACTAACGCACTTGGACCGTTCTATAAGCAGAGCTAAAAATACACAGTTTTTGAGAATATAAAACAGTGTTTCAAGAATATTATGACCTTCTTTCATCCGTCCACTGAATTACATAACATATCTTAAAAACTACATGTGACTTGACATTGTTTAGGAAGAAATAACGCAAACTGGCAATAGTCAGCATTTTAGTTTCGGTCAAGTCATCTGGACCCCTCAATCTACACATGCCAAATTTTCCTGAGGTCAGCCTCGGTCCAGATCTGTGCCTGTCGTTTTCTTTACAGGCTCAATCGGTTCAACCGGATACACGAATGTACCCCTGGTTTACTAAAATGGACAAATTCCCAAGATAATATTTTTCAGATAATTATATTAAAATAATTATGGATAGATAAAAAAATAGGTGAGCAGTGGTGAATTGTGTTCAAGTAAAGTGACATGTACTTTTGTTTTCTGTTAAATAATTATTGGGTTTACTTTATTTTGATGTAAACAGTCATAAAAAGGGTGTCTGATAATGAGAAAACAGCTGCATTTGTGTACAACTACTTCTGACATGACTTTTTCCTGATTTATCGGATATACACTGACAAAAATGGGTGCCAAAAATACTATGAAATCACTAATTTCTGTGTTTTTTTGTATTTAGTTGAAATTTGTGGGTACTCTTCATCTATGAATTCATAGGTCCACATAGTAATTACAAGATTGACATAAAGCTCCATATGAGTGGGTATACTTGATCAATGAATTCATGTACCCACGCAGTTGTTAATTTTTGGGAAACAACAAAATTTGGGCCCAATGAAAAATATATGATTTCACAGTTGTAGAGCATATTAGGAAATTTTTAACAAATCTGTGTATTGATCTGAAACTTTCATCTTCAGTTTAAAAAAATGTATTTAATAAAAAATGTAATCCTTGAGTTGTGCTCCTGTTGTATGTCCTGTTACACTGATTTCGGTTGATGACAGTGTAATACATTGTATATGTCTTATTACATTGATTTCGGTTGATGACAGCGTAATATATGTCTTGTAATACTGATTTCGGTTGATGACAGCGTAATATTAAATTAGGATACAAAGTACATGTACATAATGCATTGTATATAACCATGATGCAATCTGTTAATTTTCTCCAGATTTACGTTATACCAGAACGTTTTGGCCGCAGTTTCACTATTGCGTTTTTGGCCCTCCCCAATGAGGTTGAAATAAAGTTATCACATATGAATGGCAAAATTAACACTTGGCAAACATGGATTTTATCGGCAAAGGGCAAATATTTTACTATGTGAAAGTTTTCCCATACAGTGTCTTTACAGAAAAACTTGGCATAAATATTGTTGGCAGGTGTCAGGAATACACTTATAATTGATAGTACAGTATATTGTTATAGGGTTAGAAAGTTGGTGAGGTGGGTCCAATAAAAAAGTTATGGATGAAGAAGGTCATATTAAAGTGATTGCAGCCAACTTTGACTCGTGAGACAAATATAACTTGATTTGATATTTTACAGAAGATGTTGATTTGAAAGTGGCTGATATCAAACACCAGATGACCTGTAGTCAGGATACCATGGCAACCGAGGAGTCCATAGAGACGGAGGACGAACTCAGCAAGGATGAGGTGGTCAACTGTATATGTCTGTTTAATGAGGAAAATGGACTCATGATTCAGGTATGTGACATCATTTCAACTTCAGGATTCAGGTACATGTATGTCATAATGTAGAGTCAAACTTCAGATTTTATTATTTTATGTTTGTTTAAAATATATTATATACTTCACCATCTGGGATATGTTATGACTTCCTATGGATTTCATTTCTTTTGCAACAATTCATGTGTTACAATAGCTAAGGTAAGGTGCAAATATACATTAACAGGAAGATCAATATGTATCGAAATACTGTGGTCACGATACATAGAAAACAGTAAAAGCAAAGAGAAAAAATATGTTACAACATTTTCATGGCAATATTACAACTGAAAATTGACGTGGTCCATAATAGGCATAACTTTAAAGTTTCACACCTTCACGTCTTTCAACGTGCATGCCGAGCTGGAGCGGACCCTCAGCATGTTGGAATGAATATGAGCAGATTAAATTCAGAAATGACAAAATCCGGATAATACCCTTAGTGTATCACGAGCTTCCAAAAAATATTGTGTATCATACCAACTTCAAAATATCGCAATATATTGTTGCAGCAATAAGATAAGAGGGAGTCGGAGGACTAGTGAAGATATTTTTTCTGTATTTCAGTGTGACGTTTGTCTATGCTGGCAGCATGCTGTTTGTTTTGATCTGACGGTGGAAACTTTACCCAAGAAATACATCTGTTTTGTGTGCTCGGACCCAACAGGTAATAAAGCTATCAAAGACAGATTGTACAAAGTGTAAGTAAGTAGGTACATTTAAAAAAACTATAAACAAGATTATTGCTTTAATGATTATATGATGTTTCATATAACTCTGTTTATTTTCTACCTCAATTTTACAGAAGCCTGTTCCTACATGAATTTGGAAAATATGGCATTATCTTTATTGAAATATGGAAGATATCAGGGAAGCAGCCTGTATTCTGACAGCTGTAAAACCAGGCAAAAGAAATTAATTTAAGTCAACTCATTTTCCCTATACAATCCCATACACAATGTCACCCTATATATATAGATATGGAATTTATGGAGCAGAAAGTTTTCAATTCTTTTTAGAAAGTAAAACTATACATTTTGGAAATGATAGCATTTTCACTTTTTTTATTTTGAAATGTTTTTTATGTTGTGCATTTAATAAAATAGCAAGGTGTTACAGTTCTGTATAAAGAAACACACCAGTCTGGATTCCTACAAACATTCTCAATTATCTTACCTGACTTTGTTAACAGGTGTGAGAGAGAGCTGTCGATACATACATGATCAGGATTGGATTAAACATGGAAATCTCAACAAGTTTGGATTTCTGAACTATCAGGAGCAGGATGATCGACGAGCAGGGACCATCCAGGCAACCTGTGGTTTAGTTTCTGATGTCCACAACATTAGCACAGTACTACACAGTCTCAAGGAGGAAATCAAACTGTCCAGGTAACATCTCCATAGTCTTATATCGTCTAAAACTAAAGAGGAGGTAACTCTTCATGTACAGTATCTGTTGTGTATAAATGAGGAAGTCGCTCTCCAGGTTTTGTATCTGTTGCGCAATAACACAGTACTCCAGTCTCAAAGAGGAGGTATATCTCCAAGTAACGTGTCTGTTGTGTATAAACACAGTACTCTACAGTCTCAAAGTGGAGGTAATTGCCCAGGTGACATCTCTACCATATATACACACGCATCCTCAATACCTGAGGGGTTATGCTCAGTTTCACTCTCTGCACCCCTGGAATATGTCACAACAAAATAGAAGGCATGCTGCTACATGTAGCTATTTGATTGGTCTCGGGTAAAAATACTAGACCAATCGGCAATCGCTAGGCTGATACCTGACTTGAAGATTAGAGAGGTGCGACACCCGACTTCAAAGCCAATCGATTTTACTGTTACGCGACCGACACATTTTTTTGATGTACTTCAAAGGATCAAACCAGTCTACTTGTCTCATCCATAAGGCTGCACACAGAGAGCCTTCGATTTTACTATGACATATTCCAGGACTGCAGAGAGCGAAAGTGAGAGTAACCTTTTTTGAGTATCAAGGATGTTAAACACAGTACATCACAGTTTCAAAGAGGAGATAACTCTCCAGGTAATCTCAAAGAGGAGATAAGTCTCCAAGTAAAACTTCTGCTGTACATTAACACCGTACATTTATTAATGAGTTTGACAGGGTGATTATTGTGAAACAAATGCAAAATCATCTTTAGGTATTCTTAAGAAGGTGTTGAAATCTTATACTTAATCTATTAACGGACACAGGCATTGCAGCTTGTATATCCACATCAACATCTTTACTGCCGACATGTTCAGGTATTCTGTTATGCTTTACGATGCTGTTTTGAGTTATTCACCAACAAAACTCTTAAAAGAATAAACACTCTGGTGTATATGCTGGAAATGTACCCTCATTGTCTGGAGCAGTCGAAAAAACAACAATGTCAGTTTGTTTATATGTGTATATTGAAATGTTTTGTTTATATGTATGTATTGAAGTACTTTGCAATGACTTGCGTGACTGAAAAGATTATTTTGTATACAAGTAATTTTTATGTACAAAATAAATATTTTGTGTTGTTACAGAGATCACAGTCATCCACAGTTCAAGAAGTGGGTCACAGACCTGGACAGTGAGGAATTGTGTCCAGAGGAAACTGGACAAGGCAGCTTCAACCAATCAAATTTGGTGACAGAGAGTGATATGAACCAATCAAAAACAATATTGCATTCCAAAATAGACCAATCACATAAAGACTTTTTGCTATCAGAAAAGGACCAATCACAGACAACCTTACCAACAGAAACTCATCCCCCCCTCATCAGCAATACGACAGGGAAGAGTGTCGGTGTCGATTTAAATCTGGTAATTAAGTCTGAGCCTGTAGACATATCTGACGTTTCAAGTGAAAGTGCTAGGACATTAGAACAAAAAGAAAGTGATAATGCCTCCTCTGATCTGATCTCTGTGAAAGAAAAAGACACTGCTGAAGTAAGAGACAGGACCAGTCTGTCAGAAGATACAGTGAGTCAGCCGACAGAGGAACAGTCCAATGTGAACCAATCCACTACAGGTCAGCCTGCAGTCAGTCAATCTGATACAAGTCAACCCACAGCAAGTCTATCTACTGCAAGTAAAACCCCAGTTAGTCAGCCTACATCAAATCAATCTACAGGGAATCGATCCACAGTAGATCAGTCTACAGCAATTCCACCCACATCAAGTCAATCCACATTGAGCCAGTCAACAGTTAGTCAATCCACTGCAAGTGATCAGTCCACAGAAAGTCCGCCAACAGTGAATCAATCCACCGATGCTGAAGTGTCTGATAGCGTACCAAAAGCGGCCGGAGAGCTGACAATAAAAACTGAAGTAAAGGAAGAAGTCGTGGATGAATGTCACATGGAGGTAAGTACTTTATGAAGATCTGTGATTGGCCAGTTTAGTTGTATTCAGAACTTAACAAGTCTAACTTTGATCATCAAACATCTGCATAAGATGTCTTCTTTTCACAAAATTCTATTCACAACTGAAATGTTTTGTTTGATAAGTACTTTAGAAAGAGTAATTGTGAGCTCTGGTGTATAAACTGATGCAGGTGGACAGTGGTAACACTGGTTTTATGTTGTATGTTACAGGTTGGGGGCGATCACACTGGCTCCAATGTGGTGGTCAAACAGGAAGATCCATTCCAGATGTGTGAGAGCAATCTATTACAACACATCCTCCGGGTACAGGGACAGGTCGACTTACGGCTTGACATGATTGAGGAACAGGTGACAGGTTAGTATACATATTGCCAGGGGATGTTAGTTCTTCTGTCTGTCACAGGGGAGGGGGATAAAGCAATGACACAGGATGTTAGTTCTTCTGTCTGTCACAGGGAGGAGGATATAGCAATGATACAGGATGTTAATTCTTCTGTCTGTCACAGGGAAGGGGGATATAGCATTCACACAGGATGTAAGTTCCTCTGTCACAGGGGAGGGGGATACAGCAATCACACATGACGTTAGTTCCTCTGTCACAGAGGAGGGGAATATAGCAATCACACAGGATATTAGTTCCTCTGTCACGGGGGAGGGGGATATAGCATTCACACAGGATGTTAGTTCTTCTGTCACAGGGAAGGGGGATATAGCATTCACTCAGGATGTTAGTTCCTCTGTCACAGGGGAGGGTGATATAGCAATCACACAGGATGTTAGTTCTTCTGTCACAGGGAAGGGGGATATAGCATTCACACAGGATGTTTGTTCTTCTGTCTGTCACAGGGAGGAGGATATAGCAATGATACAGGATGTTAATTCTTCTGTCTGTCACAGGGAAGGGGGATATAGCATGCACACAGGATGTTAGTTCCTCTGTCGCAGGGCAGGGGGATATAGCAATCCCACATGACGTTAGTTCCTCGGTCACAGAGGAGGGGGATATAGCACTCACACAGTATGTTAGTTCCGCTGTCACAGGGGAGGGGGATATAGCACTCACACAGGATATTAGTTCCTCTGTCACAGGGGAGGGTGATATAGCAATCACACATGACGTTAGTTCATCTGTCACAAAGGAGGGGGATATAGCACTCACACAGTATGTTAGTTCCGCTGTCACAGGGGAGGGGGATATAGCATTCACACAGGATGTTTGTTCTTCTGTCTGTCACAGGGAGGAGTATATAGCAATGATACAGGATGTTAATTCTTCTGTCTGTCACAGGGAAGGGGGATATAGCATTCACTCAGGATGTTAGTTCCTCTGTCACAGGGGAGGGTGATATAGCAATCACACATGACGTTAGTTCCGCGGTCACAGAGGAGGGGGATATAGCAATCACACATGACGTTAGTTCATCTGTCACAAAGGAGGGGGATATAGCACTCACACAGGATATTAGTTCCTCTGTCACGGGGGAGGGGGATATAGCAATCACACAGGACGTTAGTTCCTCTGTCACAGGGGAGCGGGATATACCAATCACACATGACGTTAGTTCCTCGGTCACAGAGGAGGGGGATATAGCACTCACACAGGATATTAGTTCCTCTGTCACGGGGGAGGGGGATATAGCAATCACACCTGACGTTAGTTCCTCTGTCACAGAGGAGGGGGATATAGCAATCACCCAGGATGTTAGTTCCTCTGTCACAGGGGAGGGTGATATAGCAATCACACAGGATGTTAGTTCCTCTGTAACAGAGGAGGGGGATATAGCAATCCCACAGGATGTTAGTTCCTCTGTCGCAGGGCAGGGGGATATAGCAATCACACATGACGTTAGTTCCGCGGTCACAGAGGAGGGGGATATAGCACTCACACAGGATATTAGTTCCTCTGTCACAGCGGAGGGGGCTATAGCACTCACACAGGATGTTAGTTCCGCAGTCACAGGGGAGGGGGATATAGAAATCACGCATGACGTTAGTTCATCTGTAACAGAGGAGGGGGATATAGCAATCCCACAGGATGTTAGTTCCTCTGTCGCAGGGCAGGGGGATATAGTAATCACACAGGATGTTAATTCTTCTGTCTGTCACAGGGAAGGGGGATATAGCATTCACTCAGGATGTTAGTTCCTCTGTCACAGGGGAGGGTGATATAGCAATCACACATGACGTTAGTTCATCTGTCACAAAGGAGGGGGATATAGCACTCACACAGGATGTTAGTTCCGCAGTCACAGGGGAGGGGGATATAGAAATCACGCATGACGTTAGTTCATCTGTAACAGAGGAGGGGGATATAGCAATCACACAGGATGTTAGTTCCTTGGTCACAGAGGAGGGGGATATAGCAATCACACAGGATGTTAGTTCCTCTGTTACAGGGGAAGGGGATATAGCAATCACAAAAGATGTTAGTTACTCTGTCACAGGGGAGGGGGATATAGCAATCACACAAGATGTTAGTTACTCTGTCGCAGGGCAGGGGGATATAGTAATCACACAGGATGTTAATTCTTCTGTCTGTCACAGGGAAGGGGGATATAGCAATCACACAGGATGTTAGTTCTTCTGTCTGTCAAAATGGAGGGGGATATAGCTCACTTGAGATGTTATTTATTCAGTTTGTCATAAGGTAGGGGGATATAACAATCACAGGGGTATCAGTTCACCTGTCTGCATATAAATATAAACTGTGTTTTGTGTTTGATTTGTATTTTAAATGATGAGAAATTTAAGAATTATTAGAAGAGGAATAGTTTAAATCCAGTACATACATCTGTAGTTGAACTTGAAGACATCTCACTTTATTAGAATCTGTCTGGTCAGTGTTATCTGAACAGGTGTTTGGGTCACATATTTATTAAAGTTTGAACATTTCTCATATGATATTTAGCTGTGTAAGGTATGAAAAGAAAATTAAAGTATATAAGTTTTAATGTATGGTTAAATAATCATTAATTTCTCTTCTTACAGCTCTGGAGGCTGCAGAGACAAATAGGGGAGATAACCCCTGTTCACAGACTGCTCTAATTGACCTTCCCACTCTCAAGAAATCTCTTCACATGTTGCAGAGTGACCTTGTTAAGGTCAAACGCATGGCTGCCTACCACAGATAGCAGGCTTTTCACAGACAGTGACCAATATTGACCCTCATGTCGATCTTGAAACATTGACCTTCACAGGTCTTGACCATGTTACAGCGCCCTTAACAGGTCATTCTGACATGTACCTATCCTGGACACATCTGTACCACATAGCAGTAACCTTGACCTTTCAATCTGTCATGTAAATGTGACCTTGGCATGATTATAGCAATTATGTAAGTTGAAACTGCAGAATCATATGGCAGAGTATTTGTGTCCTATTGGAGTTATTAGTGCTGATACAGATAGTAAGAGCATTTTAGTGTAACTGTGGTATTGATAATGAACATTGAGAAAGAAATAAAGGCTTTCATAAGATATACTACTGGGTTAATTATTTTCTTATGGATTTGCGGTAGTCAGGGTACCTTGTTGCAACAGACGTGTGTCATATGATCTCTGGTTCAGATAAAGTGAGAGTTATACTGTATACTGGGAAATCTTTGCCTAGTCAAACTTTCCCCCTTTGACAGCAAAATCCATTCCTGCCATATATTAAATACAGCAAAATCCATTCTTGCCATATATTAAATAAAGCAAAATCCATTCTTGCCATATATTTAATACAGCAAAATCCATTCTTGCCATATGTTAAATACAGCAAAATCTATTCTTGCCATATATAAAATATAGCAAAATCCATTCTTGCCATATATTAAATACAGCAAAATCCATTCTTACCATATATTAAATACAGCAAAATCCATTCTTGCCATATGTTAAATACAGCAAAATCCATTCTTGCCATATATTAAATATAGCAAAATCCATTCTTGCCATATATTAAATACAGCAAAATCCATTCTTGCCATATATTAAATACAGCTAAATCCATTCTTGCCATATATTTAATACAGCAAAATCCATTCTTGCCATATGTTAAATACAGCAAAATCTATTCTTGCCATATATTAAATACAGCAAAATCCATTCTTGCCATATATTAAATTGGCCCTTCACATTAAGTTACCAGCATATTATGTGGTTTACAAATGTTGGCTGTAATGATAAATTTGCCCTCATTACAAAAGGCCAGAAAAACTAAACTGCAGCGAAATTTCCCTGTATATAGTAGGTACAGGCTACACACATCAAAGATGTCCTATCAAAGACACATATTTTGCAATAACTTAATGAATATCAACAGAGTTCCACAAGCCTCATTTTATCATGCTCAATGTAAGAAAAAACAGGTAAAAAAAACGATTTTTTTTACCATGCTTTTTTGCTCCGAAAGACAAATTTTACAAAGCTCAATAAATATTAAACAATTTCACAGGCTTTTTCAAATTCTCAACATGCTCAATGAATTTTGAGTTCAATAGGCATAATCAGTTCCAAAGACCAATTTTTATCATGCTCAATAAATATTGAGTCCCGAAGCCCTTACTTGACTATGCTCAATGATTTATCAACATAAGTTTCAAAGACATGTTTTCAATAAATATCAACAGAATTTCTAAACCCTAATTTTAACTATGCTCAATGGATATATCAACAGAGTTCCCGATGCCAATTTTTAAAACATCCAACAGCCTGTGATCATCACACAAATTAGAGTTAAAATTAGGTTGACTAAGTCAGATTTGGTTCATACCAAATTGATCTTTTAAAACATATCTCATCTTGAACCTACATGTATAGAGCTATCCAAGATGGCCACTGAAGATGATGATGAACAAACATGTGATCCAACTTCAAATGTATTGAGCAGTTGTGGTTCAGACTTCATTGTTAAAAGTTCTTTTTAATTACATACCGGTATACAATCAAGGATGAACACTGCCTCATCCTCTGATGACATTTGATGGAGATATTTGATTGCAAACTAATTCTTCCACTGGGCCATTTAACCAGTATTCTAAGCGTTCCTCTCCATTGAAGGTACCGACCACGTTTTGTTGTTGTAATCAGTTTGAATAGTTCTCTCAGGAATGTAGGACGGCCACTGTGGTCTTCACTTTGCAGAAGCATTTCTCCTTTAGTACAGGTAACAAACAAAACCAGGCTGATATTGCAGACCTCATGGGCCTTTTCTTAAAAATCACCTTGCATCAAATTGCCAGGTAAATGCAGTTGTACATATAAAATGTGTCTGTGTCGTAATTATGATATACAATGTCCTATGATAATTTTATCTGACCCGTGGTTGTGGTTCAAATATCAACTTCTTAAAAAACTTTTAGTATCTACCTGTTTTGATGTGTAAATTACTATGTCATAAGGTTAACTAAATTAGTTTGATCCATTAGAACTAGGAGAGGTATACATATGTATAGGGCTAATCACACAAATATGTAGGATTTTATTTCAAGTGACTTAATAAGAGTTACATGAATTTATATATCTTTAAATATCCAGAAAAACAGAAAAGTAGGGTTTTGTCCTAGGTGATGACTGTTAAGGTGTTGTGTTGTATAGCTTTTTATTTTTCCTTAATCCTTACTCCAGGCGCATGATGGATAGAGTTAACCAGGGGTTGGTGAACATTCAAAAAAAAAATGCAACAAAATTAAGAACACATGATATTATTTCACTTCTATAATTTGGTTGAAACAAATAGATTGATAAGTTTTGAAGATTAAGTTTGCTTTGAAAACCTTTGTTTCTTATTGGCAACAACTTTAATTTTTAGCTCACCTGCCGGAAGGGCAAGGTCACAGGGGTCAAATATGTTTAAAACATTTAAAACAACTTCTTCTGAACATTAGGCCCAAGAAAGCCTGTTTTGCTCACCTGAATATTTAAGCAGTCATAGCAAAATATTCTCATTAAATATTATATTGCACTAAATATATTTCCTTCGCAAACTTTGTTGGCTCCATCTGTTGAAACTACCAGCAAAAAATATTATTATAAGATTCTATGCTTTTTGATTCTTCTTCAGAAGTTGCTTGACATATTTTTTCCTGTGACCTTGTAAGTAGGTCAATGTCATTTTCCTTCTCAAATTGGTTAGCTCTATTCCAATAAGCTACCAGCCAAATCTAATGAATCCATTTCTTTTAGTTCCTAAGAACAAATCCTTTAAAATGTTGTGACCTCTAAAGTAGGTTGAGGTCACTTTCATTCGCAAACTTTGGTGAGCTTTATCCCAGGAAGTCACCAGCCAATTATTATAAATTTATGCCTTTTAATTCTTCATCAGAAGTAGTTTGAACCGTTTGACATATTTGAACGCTGTGACCTTGAAAGTAAGTCAAGGTCATTTTCATTCTCAAACTTTGTAGGAAGCTTCAAGCCAAATATTAAGGTTCTATACTTTCTAGTTCTTCAGAAGAAGTCGGTTGAAGTGTTTGACATATCTGCCTCATGTGACCTTAAAAGTAGGTCAAGGTCATTTTCATTCTCAAACTTTGTTGGGCTCTTTCCCAGGGAGTCACTAGCCNTTGTGACCTTGAAAACAAGTCAAGGTCATTTTCATTTTCAAATTTTGTCGGGCTCTATCCTAGGAAGCCACCACCTAAATATAAAGATTCTATACCTTTCAGTTCTTCAGAAGAAGTCATTTAAAGAGTTTTTACATATTTGACCGCTGTGACCTTGAAAGTAAGACAAGGTCAATTTAATTTTCAAAGTTTGTTGGGCTCCATCCCAGGAAGCCATCAGCCAAATATGAAAATTCTATCCCTTTTAGTTCTTCAGAAGAAGTCATTTGAAAAGTTTGACACATTTGACCCCTGTGACCTCGAAAGTAGGACAAGGTAATTTTCATTCTCAAACTTTGTCCGGCTCTATCTCATGAAACCAACAGCTAAATATGAAGGTTCTATACCTTTTCGTTCTTCAGAAGAAGTCGTTTCAAGTGTTTGACATAATTGACAGCTGTGACCTTGAAAGTACGTCAAGGTCATTTTTATTCTCAAACTTTGTCCAGCTCCATCCCAGGAAGCCACCAGCCAAATATGCAGATTCTATACCATTTATTTCTTCAGAAGAAGTCGTTTGAAGTTTTTGACATATTTGACCCCTGTGACCTTGAAAGTAGGTCAAGGTCATTTTCATTCTCAAACTTTGTCAGGCTCCTACCAACGAAGCTATCACCCATATATCATGACTCTAGGCCTGTCCATTCTTCAGAAGAAGTCGTTAAAAGGAAAAGTTGACGGACGACGACGGACGACAACGCCGCGCCATGGCATAAGCTCACTAGCCCTTCGGGCAGGTGAGCTAATAACCAAGAGGCCTAGGGTGATGATATTTTGACAGTAACATGCTTGGATGAAGGGCTACCAAGTTTGTTCAAACAAATGACCTTCACCCATTTTGAAGGTCACAGGGGTCAAATATGTTTAAAACCTTTAAACAACTTCTTCTGAATAGCCAAGAGGCAAATGATAATGATTTTTGGCCATTAACATGCTGGGATGAAGGGCTACAAAGTTTGTTCAAATGAATGACCTTCATCTATTTTCAAGGTCACAGGTTTCAAATATGTTTAAAACCTTTAAACAACTTCTTCTCAATAACCAAAAGGCCTTGAATGATGATATTTAGCCAGTAACATGCTTGGATGAAGAGCTACCAAGTTTGTTCAAAAGAATGACCTTCATCAATTTTCAAGGTCACAGGGGTCAATTATGTTAAAAACCTTTCAACAACTTCTTCTCAATAACCAAAAGGCCTTGGATGATGATATTTGGCCAGTTACATGCTGGGATTAAGTGCTACAAAGTTTGTTCAAACATATGACCTTCACCCATTTTCAAGGTCACAGGGGTCAAATATGTTTAAAACCTTTAAACAACTTCTTCTGAATACCCAAGAGGCATAGTATAATGATATTTGGCCAGTAACATGCTTGGATGAAGGACTACCAAGTTTGTTAAAACAAATGACCTTCATCTTTTTTCAAGGTCACAGGGTTCAAATATGTTAAAAACCTTTGAACGATTTCTCAATAAGCAAAAGGCTAAGGGTGATGATATTTAGCCATTAACATGCTGGGATTAGGACTACCAATTTTTTTCAAATGAATGACCTTCGCCCATATTCAAGGTCACAGTGGTCAATATATGTTTTAATCTTTAAATGATTTGTTCTGTATAATCAAAAGGTCAAGGGTAATGACATTTTGCCAGAAGCATGCTGGGTTTGAAGGATATATACTCTGTTCAACCTAATGTCCTTGTTCGACATTCAAGGTCACAGGCGTCATATGTTTAAATCTTTTAATAGGTTCTTATGAATAAAACACTGATATTCTGCCTGTAGTTGTATTTTAGTCCACTTTTAAGATTACAAGTGTGAGATTAATACCAGGTGAGCGATTCAGGCCCATTGGGCCGCTTGTTATCAAAAGTTTTACTGTATATAAACAATGTACCCGGGTACATATTAAAGTCTAAATGTTAACAATTGGATGTCTAAAGCTGTATGGTACTTTCTGTTTAGTCTGGCAGAAAATTTGAGTCATGTTATGACATGGAATTAATCTGTCAATTCCTCTTTTTTACTTAAAGAACTTTTTTTATGAAAAAGTCTAGGGTCGTGATGGTAGGTCGCTTTTTAAGCATTGATTGGGTGAAGGGCAATAAACATTGTTAAATGAAAGACCTTTAACTGCATTGAAGATGACAGGAGTCAATTTTGTTGAAAACTCCAAATGACTTCTGAAGAACTGCATGTCATGGGAGTATGTTGTCATATTTGCCATGTAGCTTAATACTTGGTCGAATGTTCCTTGAAACATTAGTGGTCTGATATATTCAAACATTTGAACAACTTCTTCTAATAGAACTATACAAGGTGTGAATCAGCGCACGAACGAAAGAAGAGCAAGTATGCGGAGCTGACAGAAGAGTGCGGCGGAAAAGGCTGGCAGGCATGGAACTTTCCTGTAGAAGTAGGCTGCAGAGGATTCCCGGCCCAATCGTGCTGGAGGATACTCGGAGCCCTCGGTATCACAGGAGGGGTAAGGAAGACGGCAGTGAGAGAGTTGGGCACTGAAGCGGAACGGGCATCACGGTGGATGTGGAGTGGAGACAGTAGCTGGAAGCCAACAGCTGGATGCCAACCGTCGGAGATTAGGGACTGATCACCCCTGCTGACCCACCATCCGGATAGAGTTCCAGGTTAGGGGTTGAAACCCTCGACAATGGATGGACCTGGCTGATGATGTAACGGTTAAGCAATAACAACAGCTGTATTCAGGTACTTGCTTGGACGAGGACTGAATCTTTATGATAATGAATTAATGACCTTGACTTTCAAGGTCACAGAAGTCAAATGTGTTAAAAGATTCAGAGTAATGACTTTTGACCTATATAGCTTGCAGAGGTGAATCAACTGAGGTGGTGTACACATAGTTCATACAAACGAACCTGACAGGTCACATTCAAGGTCACAGAGGTCAAATTGGTTAAAAACTTTTAATCAGCTTCTTATGAACCATTATATTAAAAACCATAGGGCTAAGGGTAATGGCATTTGACATGTACCTTACTGAGGTGAAAGGATACTGTATATGCTCATTTAAATGACCCCGACGCAAATTCAAGGCACCACATCCTTAATTAAAAACTATGGCAGGTGCTTTCGACAGATGGCAAGTAATTGCCTTTATATATATATACATGTCATATACAATTAATCTGTAGTTATGCACTTAATTTCCTCTCGTTTGATTGGAACTACAGATATTAGTACAATGAATATTCTATTATGGCCCTTTCCCGAGGTAACTGTTCTCTTATAGTGTTGTCGGGGAGGTAAAGGCGAGGGCACTATACCTCCCCAGACAACACTATAAGAGAACTGTTCCCGAGGGAAAGGGTCATAATAGATTTAGTCCATCACATGACTGTCCTAACTGTGACTGCAAATTGTGTCGCCTGCTTCGTTTTCATACATTGCTGAGCCTCTGCAAAGCAATCGGCATTCCCGGTCCCGAATCTCGAAGCCATTTTGGCAGACGACAACAATGAACTGAAAGTAGAATATGTACAGCGCCCCCTAGGAGAAGGGGCGCAACTCTTGGCGTCACACTACTTTTCCCGCAGTCTCAGCAGTCCAAAAAAAAGGTATAGTGCCGGTCTCCAGGTATAGTTCCCGTCGTCAAGGGCGGATGCTAACTATACCAAATAGAACAAGGGTAGTTATCCAATAGCTATCCTAGTAATTATCATGTGATGTACTAATATTATACAGTGTATGAATTTTGCATATTTTTGTTTATTTCATGTTTAGCTAATATATTTGTTTGTTACTGATCTGCCTTAGATAACTCTGGTATCTTTCAGTATAGTTTATAATTAAATTAATTCTGTTTCCTAGTTAAGATGCGCCAAAAGGAGATGCATTTCAAGATTGTTGGAGTAATAGAGCAACAGGATGTAAGTTTACTGACTTCACTGATCAACGGCGGTGTCAATTTGGATGCTGTGATCCTGTACGCCAAGACGTCTCTCACTTACGCCCTGGAACTTGGACATGGGGACATTGCATGTCGACTCATCCGTGCTGGATGTGATGTTGAAAAATCTGTGGAATCTACCATGGCGTTAAAACCTATACATTTTGCTATCCTTAGAAAGTGTATTAATGTACTGAAAGAATTGTTAGCTCACAGAGTCAACGTTAATGGCAAGACACCAGGAAAACCACCACTTCACATTATTCTTGTTTCTTTGGATATGAAACTGTCGTCAATATTTTACTTTTGAACAAAGCTGACATCACTTCCAGCGATAGTTGTGGGAGAACACTGTTGTGTTCTCATACTCCAATGAAAACTAAAGACTTTGCTTCATGTCAGGTTTTAATCAGCCATCCTTTTACCATGCCCGGATCTCCCCAGGTAAGTACAGTCAATAATTACTAAATGGCTTAACAGGCCAAACTAATCGATAAGTCAAAATACGACAAACACCACTGCATCATGCATAAGAACGAAATCATCAAAATATTGCAGAGAATCTTATTGCGCTTCGGTAGATTCCAGGATGTATTTGGATGGCCACTGTTGTTTCAGTCCATCATCTTCAATTCCAAGAGGATAGTAGCATTTTTAATGGAGAAAAACAGTAATTTGAATATCAGGGATTGTCATGAGAACGCTGCATTGCACCTGCCTGTACACAAATCCTGGTATCCACCTCGATAGAATACCAGAAACAAAAGAAGAAAATTCCAACAGCAGAATCAACTCATCTACTGATTGGTCAAAACTCAAAACCATGCCATTCAATGATCCAATTATTAGTCAACGCAGGTGCTTTTATTAATATCCGGAACAGAGCTAATGTGATTCCCATGTATTTGTCGGCCTTCTCGCGGGACTCCACCCTCACTGACTATCTATATCTGGCTGGAGGGAAGGTTGACCGACAGTGGATACAGCTCGGTGATGATGTGAACCTCGTCAGACAAAGAAGTGATGATTATGCCCCACAACATCATCAGTACGAGTTTTTGTTGGAGCCGCAGTTCTGTCTTTCTCATCAGTGACAAGGGTGTATTAGACTGACACTCGGCCAAACAAGAAACATACCAGATGCAATCACTAGGTTACCCCATCCTCGATATACAGGTGTTACGCTCACTTTTGTACTCTACACCCCTGGAATATGTCATAGCAAAATTGAAGGCTTGATGTGCGCCACCTTGTTGATGAGATAAGGAGACTTGTTCGATCCTTTAATTTGATGTACATCAAAAGAATCTCGCGGTCACGTAACGGTAAAAGTTGACAGGCTATAAGTCGGGCATCTCTCCTTTGTAATCTTCAAAGGACAGGTGTCAGCCTAGCCATTGGTCAGTATTTTTTTCCTGAGACCGATCAAACAGCTATCTTCGTGCCTTCAATTTTGCTATGACATATTCCAGGGGTGTAGAGAGTGAAAGTGAACGTGACCCCTGGATATCGAGCATGCCACCCAAGTTAAAAATGTACATTAATGAATGAATATACTTGGAATGGTTTACGAAAACGTTATGAATACAAAAGTTTTTCTATACTTAAGATATTAAACTCTGTTTGTATTGTCAAGAATTGAACATGGTTGGCTTTGTTCTTCTTGGTCCATTTTTTATAGCTAAAGAGATACAATACACCAAAGTTAACTGGTCAAACTGGTCACATCAATATTAGATGGTCTTAGCAATGACCTACACAATAGCTAGGTGATAAGGATTATTGATCTTTTATTGACCTCAAGCATGTGTAGCTAGGTTATCTCTCAAGTATAATTGGTCTCATTTTTGACCTCAAGTAGCTCGGTAATCTCTCATTTATAACTCATCTCATAAATGACCCAGGGTACATGCAACTTAGTTATCTCTCAATATACGTGTGTAACAGGAGAGGAAAAATGCACGGCCAGACCGGGACTTGAACCCAGGACCCTCCAAACTGTAGACGGATGCTCTTCCAGCTATCTGGTCGCCGACGATCGACCCAGTCCAGTTCTGCTACATTCCTTCCTCCTTTAACAAAGCCTTCGACCCTGAAGACACATGAGACCCTATACCACCTTCTGTGGGTATATTTTGTTGGGCACCAAATGTAACTGGAGAGAAAAAATGCACGGCCAGACCGGGATTCAAACCCGGGACCCTCCGAACTCTAGACGTATGCTCTACCAATTGAGCTATCTGGTCGCCAAGGATCGACCCAGTCCAGTTCAACTTCATGTGTAACTGCTCTCATTAATGATTCACACATGGTTGGTAGTCTCAAGCTCTTCAGATAAAAGATTTCTCAAGAGGATTTCATTTCATATTTATTTCAGTCCATTTTCTATATAACAATTTTATAACATTTCAGTCCGTTAATTTATACACGCACTCCTGGTTTTAGAGCTGTATACAATCTTGCACAGTTTAAATTTGTCCGTATGTCAGCCATGAAATTATTGACGAAATTGTCTTTCTCCGACTTCTTGCACTCGAAGATAACAACAAACGTTATCCTCACATCAACCTGGGTTATGAAGTATGTACTCTGGGCAGTCTGTAAAGTAAAATATAACCATGGTGAATTATCTTTAATCACAGAATTCAAGTTTTCACACAATGATAAATTAAAAAGCTCAAAATAGACATTTTTGTTTTCATCTGTTTAGTTACATTTTTTTAAATTCCGGTAATAATTTTTCTAATGGGCAGAAATAATGTAACTGCCAAGTTACAATGCAGCACATATATAGAAATGGACATTTTATCTTGAAATCTTGGGTGAACCAACATCCACATGTGGTGTTGTGTGTGTTATGTATCACATAGAAAATGATTGCTTTGAAATATTTAGAAAAATGTGCGAAATAATACATTTTGGCAAGAAAATTAGGGGTGGGCATTATAATTATGAAAAAAAATACATTCCCAATACAAGAACAGTAAATATAACAGCCAGACCGGGATTCAAACCTGGAACCTCTGAAGTATGGATTGACTCAATCCAGTTCCTGTGGGATATCCAGTAAAACCTCGATATAATGATATGGTTTCATTTACTACCTCACTTGCTGCTAACGTTTTTCAAGGTCCCTTATTATGTTTTCTCTCAGAGTTCTTTATTATATTTCCCTCAGTTTGTCCCCAAACTCCTTTATAATGCCAAACTTTTTGTGGACAAATGGAGGCAGTATAATGAGGTTTTACTGTATATCCTCAAGCACCTCCATCAACTTACCTTGTCATATATACATGTAATCTTGTCGTAAGCATGGTGGTCACTTGGTCTGTTGTTGATCAGCATCACAATATTATGCCAGTGGTTCTGCACCTGTCTATCCTATAGAAAAAAACACCAATGTTAACAACCGACATGGGAGAATATTTATCCTGAAAGGGAGGCAATTCAGAGTACAAAGGAGTTAATTCACTGTAACATCAGAAAGTAAGGGAGATAGTTCACTTAAACAAGGGAGACAATTCCTGTGTACGATTTGGGATATATCTTACTGCAGTAAAATACTTTGGCAATAAAAGAAATAATAACACAAAACACAGTTCATGGATGTAAGGATACTAGTTGTAAAATTCTATTTTTAAATAATCCTACAAGCATGCTGCCCCTGCCAACAGTCAAATATGGCTAAAATTTAATTTATTTTATTAATTAATAAGAGGTTCTTATATACCGCTTTATCACAACCTAGTTCGTAGGTCGTCTCAAAGCGGTTCACAAATTTTTATCCATGGTTATAGGGCCTATGCAATCAGCCAATATCTTTCTCAACTCCCTGGGGAGCATTCAGTCGGTGCCGCCATTTTGGCGCTCACAGCTAGCTTTCAACAATTATAGCACTGCCCTACCACGAAATCATTTACAGCTGAGTAGACTGAAACAAGCAGAGTAAAGTATCTTGCTCAAAGATACAACACAGTGCTGTGCCGTAACTTGAACCCACAACCCTTCGGTCACGAGCCGGCATCCTACCAGAGGCTTATCTCGTGAACTTCAGGGAAGTCATGAAAACAAAACTTCATGGAACAATTAAGAGTTTTGAAGTAATCTAGAACTTTTTTTTTCAAATTTGTTATAATTTTTTTTAGATTTTGAATAGCTGTACTAACCGCAGGATATGCAAATATGGCAGGAAAACTGTCAAGTCCTTTGGGTTCCTCAGAATACTTCTTGGGAAAATGGTACCCAGAACCTTTACACCGGTGGATCCCTTGTGTGTCTAGTACTAGAGATACATGCATGGCATCAGACTTCCTCTGGAATGTCACAATTCTGTAAGAATATTATAAATAATACTAATCATTCGCTTTGAATTGCCAAGTTCCTTATAATTTTGTATATGTATAATGATTACATACAGGTATAATAACATCAGTTAAGGATTAACATGTATGCTACCTTATAACTTATAGGTATAATAACATCAGTTAAGGATTAACATGTATGCTACCTTAAACAAATTAACACTAAACCTCAGTTTTGAATGTGTTCCACATAAGATCTCTTTAAATTATATTTACAAATGATACTTTGGACTTTGATGATACCTAATAATGACAACTTAGTAATGTTACCTGTAAAATACCTTCATGTATGATAATTTTAATGACTTATCATAATTGCAATCTTGTAATGTATAAAATGTAAACAAAAATGCATTGGAAACAGAATGTAATCAATATATACTTCAGAAAGATAACACAATTGGAACTGTAAGCCAGAGTCATGTTTATACACACTGCTCGACAATTAAAGCTTTTGATGTCTAGGGTAATCAGAGACCATAGCGGCCAAATTCGATCCCGTAATTTAATAGTTGGCCTTTTTATATAAAGTATGCTCCCTCTGTATCACTCCTATAAAGTATCAACAATTTGGCCAAATAGACCTCAACTTATAATTGTTATTGTCTCAGCCAATCAAAAATAGACCCTTAGATGTAAAGTATATCTCTATTATTATGCAACAGTTTAACTCGTCTCAAACTTTTCGAACATTCGTCTGGACAGGACATATAACAAAATAAAACGAGAAAAAATAACAAGAGGCCCAGAGGGCCTGTATCGCTCACCTGGATACCTAAGCAATCATGGCAAACTATTCTCCAAATGAGATCAAGGGAATATGCCAGACCCCAAGGCCAATCCTTGTAGCATAGCTATATTAGATTTGTCATGCCCAGCAATTTTATGTATGGTTATGGGGTGGGGATCTCAACTGTTTCCAAGCTTTGACTCAGAAACTAGGTCCCTAGAGTTGTGGCCAGACCCCAGGATCGATTCTAATATCGTGACTGCATTTGTCTCTTTTTGCCAAGCATTTGTATATATAGTTTTGGGGTGGGGATCTCAACCGTTTCAAAGTTATGACCCAGGGGCCAAGTCTGCAAGGGTGGGGCAGACCCTGGGA